CTTGTGTATAAATTGATATATACGCAAAAGAAAATAAATAAAAAAGAAGCATGGTTTGGTGGCTATGTATGTACTTTCTTTATGTTTTTGGGTTCGAAACTCCTTACTTTTTAAATAAAAAAAAGCATGGTGTTGTGGCTATGTACATATCATATGACCGTACATATATCATAATCAGAACAACTCATACTCTTTATAATGAACTAGTTAAACAAATCAATGGTTATGATATTTGTAGCATCTTATAATGAACTGTTAGGTTTTTTTATTGCATTTTTTCTCACTCCCTAAAGTGAGGATGATTCTAACCCCCACTCGGTTGTCGTTAGATTAGTTAGAATTTGAGATTCGTGTCTTAAATTAATTAAACCAAATTAATTTAACGGTAATCAATAGGGGATGAGCATCACATGCTCACCTCCACTTTAGTGTTGTGAGCAAAGTTGTATTATATATGGATAAATGGTCTTCAAATAAGATGAAAATTAGATGATCCTTAAAAGCTGACCAAAAGAATAAATGAACGACGTGTATTCGATTAAATGATGTCATATATGAAAAAGGGTTTTAAAGATTATATCTTCAAACTTTTAAGGATTTTAATTAATTATGATATTCCTAATCATAGATTTATCATCAAAAGTTATCTTTTATAATGATAGAAATTAAACTATAAATATTAAAGAGAAAAGAAAAATATTAATGTAGTTCAAAAAAGGCCCAAAATGGTTCTACAGGGAGTTGAACCCTTGCAAACACAAATTTAAGTACCAGTGCTTAACAATTCCCCGAAGGCAACAATGTTAACTATGTTCACACTTTTTTTATATGTAGTACATTATAAAGGTTATTAAAATTCAGGGGCCCCTAAAAATCGGGGCCCTGTGAGGTCACACGCCTGGCATCCCCTCAGGGCCAATCCTGACTAAGACCTTATCAGTTTTTAGATTTTGATCAAAGTCTCTAGCATTAATATATTAATGAATTACATGTAAGTTACATAAGTTTTATAATAAAAAAAATTGGTAATTGATTTAGAGCTTTAATACTCACACCCTTATTAGACTCCTAAATAATTTTCAATTCAAACATTTCCCAAATATAAAAAATAAAATTAGAATGAGTTTGTACCCTTTGTTAAAAATGTACCCTTTTTTTAAATTTAAAATGTACCCATTTTTTATATAAAATTTCATTCAATCTTTTCTCTAATCCATTTTTTAAACTTATATGTGTACATTCTATTTCATTGATTTGAGAATGTCTCCATATCAAGTTTAATAAAAGAAATTTAATAATGTTATTATGCCTAATATCCTTCTTTTTTATGCTTTTGAAAATGTACACATGTTTTGGTACAATAATTTTTTTGGTTAGTTTTGATGAACGTACCCATGTGTGTGTACATACACACACACACACAAAATATTGGAGAGTATAATTCATCTTTAATATTTTTAATCCCATAAATTATGGGTTTTATTTAAAATCTCATTAATATAAATAACTACAAATTTCATTTTTAATTTAAAAATATAATAATCTACATAGAAATATATTATTACATTAATATCAGGGACTTCGATCAAAAACTAAAAACCACCAAAGTTTTAGTCAAAGAACATTGGTAATTAGGGACCGCATCCAAAGTGTCCCTTCTATTAATTCCTTACTAGCTAGAGCATCGCATATACTTTGGCAAAATGGAACTCTTCATGTTATATTAGTAACTCTCTCACATGCTATGCATGTGGTAGAGGAAGTTATTGTAGTGGAAGTTACTATTTTATTCTTGCTACAGCAAGGGACGTGAGTTGTTGGTAACTATTTTTTTTTCTGTTTTTTTTTTCACTTTTATTAAAAACTGGAAAATTATTTATTGGTAACTGTTTTGATTTTCAGAAAAATGAAAAGTGAAAGCTACATTTTGGATTTTTAAAACTTGGCTTGGTCTTAGTGTGAAACTAAAATAGTTAATAATAACTTAGCTACAAGTCCAAAAGATAAAAAAGTGAAGTTTATTTATAATTTTCTTGTCACATGTACATTGTTACAAGGTATTTCGAGTCATATAATTTCTTTCCATATATATAAATATGGAATATATAGGGAAGATATAAAAATATATATCAAAGCTCAAGGGAATACTCGAGCGGTACACAAAAAACTCGATGTCATTGTCATGGACATGTATATGAAATATTGATACTCATGCGCAAGTTGGGAGAGGAAGACAATTCCCTAAAATATGATGCTCGAGCCACCCACCATCAAATAGCCAATACTTTCTGCATGTCTCTGAATTGAGAAAGGGCATGCTGGGCTCCACCACGCAACTGGACCCCCATTTACTCTTTATATCCCAGACTAACCTGATCAGTAGTGCTCTGCCAAATTTTTTTTTTTTTTTTTTTTTTTTTGGACACAAATTGGAATCCGATTGATGGCTTCTTCCTAATAAGAGCTTAAGTTTACAATCAAGTAACAAGCAAAACAAAAGTGCGTATGTGTGTACGAGGGGAGAAATTATCTATTGTAATCGGAAACATCACATTGCAATATTTATTGAATAGTGATATTCACACTTATTTTTTAGGGTAAATTACACTGTAATCCTTCAGGTTTGAGGTATATTACAATCGCATACAACATCTTCAAAACATTTCACTTTCATACCTCAACTACTATTTTATTCTAAATTGACAGAAAAGTTGGATTTTGTTACCAACATTGTTGAGTTCTTTTGTGAACTACTTTTGTATTGAAATATATATTCATATTTTCAGTTCGACTATTGTGAGCTAATATTTTGACTATTAGCCCTTGATATCATGACTTTGTTAGTAACATAGTGCTTTGAGTTAAGTGTGCATGTAATCATGGAGTACAAGGAACTGTGCAATGTATGCCTTGTTTTCTGTGGTTCTGCACTTGATTCAAAAGTGACAAGTTGCTAAGAAAGATTGGTTGCAAACTCATGAAGACTCAGTGATCACCACGAGTTCTTATCAGGACATCACATTGACATTCAAGTGGGAGAATGTAAAGTTCTATGAATGGCAATGTGTGACAATTGTTTACTTGAGGAACAAATCACTTGATTATTCAGTGGTGTGCAATTCAAGTAAATTAAGAGTCCTAGTTACGTAAGAATTGTGGAGTCTTTAATCATTGCAGCTAATCTAGGAGAATCATCTAAAGGTTCAAATACAAAGATATTGCATCATGATAGGACTCAATCAAGGTGATAGGGTTGACCTTCTTAGCTGTTAATAGGCCGGCTAATAAGGAACCCTAATGGTATATAATTACTAAGTTAAGTCCCTGCTTCCATACATTGAATTCCTCATAATACTAAAACATATTCATATAGTAGGGGGATATTTTGGAGTATTGGAAGGAGAAGACAACCTAAAGTTCATCAATGGCTTCATCTTCATAACAATGTCTTCCGAATTCTACAGATAAGTTCAATATAATTAGTCAATATCTATTTCATATTGATTTGATTTATTCGTGATCCTAATGTCTTGTTGTTGTGATTTCAAAATATGTCTTACATGAACGAGGAGATACTTCCCAACCCCGGATCCATTATTTGGCATGATCCCCACAATGAACATCTTTTTTACCAAAATCTAACATGGCCGCACGACCATAGTGATTTTGTTAAACAAGATCACCATCACCGTACCCAAATTGGTCAAAAACAACAATGAAAGGATAGTCTAAGTTCAACTTGTGACAAGCTAAACCAGTACTTAATTAGTCTAAAACAACTTTACGTAACAAACGGGGCCTTACTGAATTTGACAATGCAATATTTAATATGAGATGTTATTGCCACTTTTAAAAAGTTTTTGTGCTCTCTTCATTAGTGTATATTGTTTCTAAGCTTAAATGTCAAAATGGTCCCTATGTTATAATCATATGGCCAATTTAGTCTCTATATTTTCGATTTGGCTAATTTAGTCTAAATAATAATTAATAAACAAGGCCAACCCAACTTTAATAAGTAAGATCTTATTAAACCTAACAATGGGCTAGCAATAATGTGGTATAATTCACATTTGACGAGAATTGAACCTAAGACCTCTCACTTACAAATAAAGAGGAATATCACTTGACCGTAGTACTAAGTGGTTTCATAATAATTATCATGAATACTACAAATTTAATATTTACAACCTAATTGTGTTATCATTCCAAAATCATATGATAATGATACTAATGCTAAGTATAACCAATTTTTTTAATACAAGTAAAACCAGAGTTTTATCAAGGAAAGAGACTGAAAAGAACAAGAATAAAAGTATCAAATGTTGATTTAAATTTACTCAAAAAAATTAAACAAATTCAATACACACATAAATAAATCAAAAGACTTGAGGCAAGAATGAAGTGTCATGCACCTTTAAGCCCAAGTTTCTTGAGTCTTTTGACCATTGAGCACAATAATATTGGATTGTGTTTATTGGGGTAGTCTTATTGTACAAGAAGGGTCAACTATAAGTACATATGTATGAAAAAACTTGGATATAACATATAAGAAGACAAATTTTCAAGACAAGTGACCACTGTGGGCTTTAATTTGCTCCGCCAGTGTTTCCAAATATAGAAAATTCTTAAGATGTAGATGTGAACAATGATTTTAACTATTTGAGTTATAAACTAATTTGCTTTTCAAATAAACTTACATTTATATTTTATTTCTACATCCACGACCATAATACTAATCAAGAAAAGACAGAAAAGATGTTAATAAAGGGGACTAGCTTAGCTATATATATATAGGATGAGATTAGCATTAAGCTTAATGGTTAATAGTCAGTGTTAGAATAATTAATAGAAAAGGTGGGATTCCCACCATCACCACATGGGATGGAGGTCTACATGACCATGGAGGCCAACACACAAGAGGACATCTTCCATCCTTCGTGTGTGTGTGTGTATGTATGTGTATATATATATATATATATATATATATATGTGCATATCTTCCATCCCAGGACCGTTCACTTTGGGACGCCAACTTAAATCGAGCCAACGCAAGTACGCGTACGTACTTGTGCCCTCTCCCAACCATCGCTAACGCACGCAACCAAATTATTTAAAAAAAAGGAGAACTCACATACATTCAAACTTGCAATGTCTCTCAGCAGCATAGTGCCAAAACCAGCAGAATATGGCGGCAGCGACAGTAGTTGTACTACTACTGTGGAAGTTTCGCCGGAGATGCCTGCTGGAACCCAGAACAAGGCCGCGCCCGCTACCCAAGTTAATTCACAAGCTTTCCTACAACTAACGTTGTATCCTATAACTTTAAAGGTCTCTCATCATCATCTCTCTCTCTCTCTCTCTCTCAGCTAGCTAGCTGAAATATTAATTATTAATTCATGATTTGGTGACTAAATAATTTAATTTCAGATGATACCATCGATGTATATAAAAGTGACGATCCTGCTAAAAATTAAGTTATTAATTAATAATTAAATTGCAGTTTGAGGAGGTGTTTTACAAAGTGAAAGTGGAGCAGAAAGGGAGTAGAGGTAGGAGCAGATCTAGAGAAAAGAGTATACTGAGTGGGATAACAGGTATGGTATGTCCAGGAGAGATATTGGCTATGTTAGGGCCATCCGGAAGTGGGAAGACGACCCTTCTTACTTCCCTGGGAGGGCGCCTCAATCATCAGAATAACGTTAAGTTCATGTCAGGAAAGATCAGCTACAACGGCCAGCCATTCTGCGGCGCCATCAAAAGACGAACGGGATTCGTTGCCCAGGACGACGTTCTGTACCCGCATCTCACGGTGACTGAGACTCTTGTGTTCACGGCTCTCCTGAGGCTGCCCAACAGCCTGAGCCGGGACGAGAAAGTGCAGCACGTGGAGCAGGTGATCAGCGAGCTGGGATTGACTCAGTGCCGGAGCAGCATGATAGGGGGGCCACTGTTTAGAGGGATCTCAGGGGGAGAGAAGAAGAGGGTGAGTATAGGTCAAGAGATGCTGATTAACCCGAGCTTACTTTTATTGGATGAGCCCACCTCAGGGTTGGACTCCACTACAGCTCAGCGGATCCTGATCACACTCAAAAGGCTTGCGAGTGGGGGCCGAACCCTTGTCACCACCATCCACCAGCCCTCCAGCCGCATCTACCACATGTTTGATAAGCTCGTCCTGCTTTCCGAGGGCTCCCCCATTTATTATGGCCCTGCTTCTGCGGCCCTCAATTATTTTTCCTCCATCGGTTTCTCCACGTCCTTGCCTAGTGTGAATCCTGCTGATCTTTTGCTGGATCTTGCTAACGGTATGTATGTACGTAATGTATGTATGTAGATGTACGTACGTACGTACATGTGTATACTAACTAATTATGCATGCATGCGTATGCGTATATTAAATGATCGATCTATCCACTGGTTGTTTTTATTAATTTGCAAACTAAATATGTACGGTACGTCCAGGAATCGCCCCTGATTCCCAACATGCATCTGAGCAGTGGGAGAACACGAACGCGGAACAAGAGCAGAAAATGGTGAGAAAAGCTCTCATTTCTGCCTACGATAAGAACATTTACGCAAAGTTGAAAGATGAGCTCTGTGCTGGTTTGGAGGTCAATAACTACGACAATTACATGAAAGGAGCTGCTTCTGCAAGTAATTCCTTCAGCATATCCTCTCTCTCTCTCTCTCTCTCTCTCTCTCTCTCTCTCTCTCTCTCTCTCTCTCTCTCTCTCTCTCTCTCTCTCTCAATTTCCTAGCCCAAGCCCCAAGGTTCGTTTAGTTTCAATTTTCAATTATAATGATGTCTTGTGTAGTGCATTAGCTGATCATGCGATACCTGCAGAGCAATATTGGTGTACAAGCTGGTGGCACCAGTTCAAGGTGCTGTTTCAGAGGGGGTTAAGGGAGAGAAGGTATGAAGCCTTCAACAGGCTACGGATTTTCCAAGTAGTAAGTGTGGCCACGCTTGGTGGACTCCTCTGGTGGCGTACACCCACGTCTCACATTGAAGACCGTGTAAGCTACAATTCCTTTATTTAATTGGTTAATTTAAAATGCATAAATATAATTGATTAATAACTTTTTAGTGTGTATATGGTTGGTTGCAGATCGCTTTGCTCTTCTTCTTCTCCGTATTTTGGGGGTTCTACCCACTGTACAATGCAGTGTTCACATTTCCCCAGGAGAGAAGGATGCTGATAAAAGAACGATCCTCGGGAATGTACCAGCTTTCATCCTACTTCCTAGCAAGAACAGTTGGAGACCTGCCGCTGGAGCTGGCACTGCCAACAGCATTTGTGTTAATAATCTATTGGATGGGAGGGCTTAAACCGGACCCCTTCACGTTCATCCTGTCCCTGCTCGTGGTTCTGTACAGCGTGCTGGTCTCCCAAAGCCTAGGGTTAGCCATTGGTGCCATTCTGATGGACATAAAGCAAGCCACCACTTTGGCGTCGGTTACAACACTTGTCTTCCTCATCGCCGGGGGTTACTACATTCAACAGATTCCTCCCTTTATCGTGTGGCTGAAGTACTTAAGCTATAGCTACTACTGTTACAAGCTTCTTCTTGGGGTCCAATACGACGAGGACGACTTTTATGAGTGCTCCAAAGGAGTCTTGTGCCGAGTTGGAGATTTGCCTGCCGTCAAATCCATGGGTGGTCTCGACCACTTGTGGCTCGATGTCTCCATTCTCGGCTTAATGTTACTTGGCTACCGCCTTCTTGCTTATCTTGCACTCCATCGAGTGCGCTTGAGGAGATAATTAATCATTGACATCATCGATTTGATCGTCATCCGAAGAGTTCTCTCCTTCTTCATCAACTGATCGATGGTGCGTCGAGGAGGAACGTAGCTGAAAATCATCACATCATGTGGTGGAAATTTGAGTTGGAATTAATTAAAACCGTATCGTGTGTGCATGAACCTTGATATATGCTTTAGCCAGCTTACTTTAATCAGCTCGATCGATATTAATTACTAACTTGAAGAAGATCACTCTAATTGAGTAATTTCAGAATAATACATTGATAATGCTCAATCGTTTATGATAATAAAGAGGAAAGAACATATATGCTCTTCAATTTCAAGGTGTGAACACACCCAACTGCCGGAAAATTATTGTCTCTGTAGAATATTATTATGTGGCTTAGCCGAACTCTCTCTTTTCCTAGTATAAAAGTATCAATGTACTAAAAAAAAAAAACTGAGCAATGTCGTCATTTATTAATCACTGTAATATTTATAAAATAATTAAGATGACTAATTATACTCAAGATGTAAACAAACAGATTATGTACGTCCATTCATAAATCACTAGAATCCTCATAACAGAAGTATTTTTTAGGTGGAGTCGTGGCTCTCTCGTGCAAAAGAATGTCCTTCCTACTTTGGATATAATTATCACCCGAGACTCTTACTAAGAAGCAAAGCAATATATTAGGAAGGAGGATTCTCTCCATTCTTATTTTCATTCCCTTTTTTTCTCTTTTCTTATATATTGTTTTTTATCTTATTATCTTTATAAAAAAATAAATATAAGATATTAATGTGGCTAAACTGTAACTGTTCAAATAAAAATGAAGGGAAATGAAGAGATATTAGGAGGAGAGATTTTTCAATATGACTGTCACACGAAGTGGTACACCACGTGTCCTTATATAAATTGTGGATTATGTGTGTTAAAAGATTAATAACTTAAAAATAAATTTTTTTTACCAATTACATAAAAACACGTGATGTACCATCCCTATTTCCGTTACAACTAAAAATTTCTCGATTAGGCCCCTCCATATGTTAGATCGAGAAGGACAATAATCTATCGTACCACGTAGTGGGGGCTGGCTGGGGGGGCCGTGGCTTTCGTGGTTTTCGCTGGGTAGGGAGTAGGTAGACAGCCCCTTTATTTATTTATTTTTTTTAACAGAATTGTTTTTTTTGCTTTTGGACACACAAATTTAGTGGTAGCCATTATTTATTGAGTTTTTTCTTTGCAGATTTTGCACAAGTACAATTTGAATTCACAGTTATGTGCTTTAATACCAATAAAATTTTAAATTTTTAATAGATAAATTGCATTTTATCCCCTCAAGTTTAAAATAAATTGCAATCTCATACAATATTTTTAAAACATTTCAGTTTTATACATTTATTTTTAACAAAAAAATTCTTTTTCTTTTTATAAATAAAAAGTAGCCTTTGCTCAATGCTGTGTTGTCCATATCTCCAATTCCATATAACGAAGGTGGAATTGATGTCTAAATTCGTAACTTCATAAGACAAATTAAACACGTACGTAGTAAGACAAATTAAACAAGAGAAGTGTTGTAATTATTATTTAAGATAAATTACATTTTATACATTCATGTTTGAATACAATTACAACCTTATACAACATCATTAAAACGTTGCAAGCCATACATAAACTTTTATTTAGTGTACTATTTCATTTTGGACCTATATTCTGTAGTGAATTTAGTATTTCATTTTGGGTTTGGTTCTTATTTTTCCTAACTAATATAGATTAATTTTAGAACATATTAAGCAATATATAAGTCATCAGCAACCAAGAAAATGTGGGGTTAATTAGTGTGCAATTTATAAAGTTTATTTTTTTTGTACAATAGGCGTGTGCAAAAAGACTAAGTTAGATTATCTCCAAATGACATATCAAATTCTAAGTGAAATGTCATGTAATCAAATTTGAAGGTAGGGATAAGTTTCAACCAGTATGTCAATTCTATGTGGATTGACATATGAATTTTTTATGTCAAATTTGACATATGAGAAAAGGTGATGTCAAATAATTTTTATAATTATTTTATTGTGTGAGCTCCATTAAGCACCAATTATAGGCCTTGGAAATTTACTTTAATTGATTTCATTTTAAAAATGGGCCCTACAAATATCATTTATAATAAAAAAATAAATAATATATATATATATATATATAGGTTGCAGGAATAGAGACATTGCCATATTAGCTATTAAATTAATATTTAACATTTATTTTTGATATCTCCATTGGAGATGCTCTCAATTATTCTATTTGAAACATTGTTAATTTTTCAACCGATTGTTTTTAGATTTTAATCTTAGGGATGATTATTGTTAGCCATGGATGGTGGAACACCATGATGCACCACTGTTCACCTTTGAGGCTTTGACAAAGGGAACTTTAACGAAAAGCACCTGGTACTGTTCACTTTAACGAAAAAACCACATTTTTACACTAAAAAGTCAATCATGGTACTATTCACTGGTACTATTCACTTTACCCTTTATTTTGTCCTTATCATTAAAACTCAAAGTTTTCAAGCCCTTTTCATTAGTTTTCCTTTTGACAAATGATCAAAACAAAATATTTTCATACGATGATACAAGCCCGAGTTGATTATTTTTTTTCATGACCAATAATAGGCCTCGATTATGTGGGTAATTAGAAAGTATGTAATTGTAGTATCCCACATCGGCGGGGTGGGGATTGGTCCCTGATCTTATATGTACATGCCCCATCTCTTCCTAGCATGACTTGTTCTAGGTAGTGAGGTTCTCTTGCCCAGAAACAAATCCGTGAGGACGTGGCCCAAAGTGGACAATATCGTGCTATGACGGAGTCGGGATGTGACAATTTGGTATTAGAGCCAGACTCACCGTCCGTTCGGATGTGCCGACGAGGATGTCGGTCTTCTCAAGGGGGTGGATTGTAATATCTCACATCGGCGGGGTGGGGGTTGGTCACTGGCCTTATATGTACATGTCCCTCACTTCCTAGCATGACGCATTTTGGGTAGTGAAGTTCTCTTGCCCAGGAACAAATTCGTGAAAGCGTGGTTTAAAGCGGACAATATCGTGCTACAGCAAAATCGAGATGTGACAGTAATAGTTTGTAACACAATTGCAAAGAAATTTGTCACAAGAAGATGATTGAAAATAAAAGTATAAGAAACTTTTAATACGATAAAGAAGGCCATAACATGCACAATTAATAAAACAATTAGAAAAATAACTAAAACAAACTTATCTTTAAGGGGTGCTTTAGATTTTGGCTTTTACAACTCATTATTTCTAAGATAAAAACCTATTTATTTTTAAAGATTCAACATAAGCCCAAATTTAAAATCTGCAACCACATCAAAACACTATTGACCCATTAATACAATGTATTTACATCCATGCCACTCATTCTTTATGGTCCATTTCCCCAATTCCTAAATTTATGCCAAATTAAAAGTAGTAGAAAAATAAAATATATAAACTGTTTGCATTAATGGTATCCATGTCATACCAGAAATTTACGTTTTTTTTTTTGTGATATATTTTGTAGTAATTGTATCCATATTAATTGGTAGGTAAATTAGTTTGCTCCATTTATTTAAAAAAAAAGATTAGATGTTAGATTAGGAAGTCGACGGGGTTCAAACTCACGTCATGGTGTAAGGGTAACACTCCTCTCCACCATTGTGGTAGAGGGTGTGCCGTTAGCTAATCTACATCTAATCTAACAAAATCTATTGTTTGACAAAATAAATAAATAAATAAATCAACTACACGTTTATTATATATATTTTTTAATCAAATAACATTCCTCTAACTTGTAGGTAAATTATTTTCTATGTATTGTTATATATGTTAGACACGTTCAATGGTGGAGCTAGAAAAATTTTACCGGGTGGGCTAGCTTAAAGATTTAAATCTTTATAAGCAAGAAAAATTTTCACATTATCAGCTAGCTTAAGAAAATTTTCACAAGGTGAATCAAGAATTTTCGTTATTCAAACAAATTCAAACATGTACATGTACAAGAAGGGATGAGAAAAAAGATGTGAGAAAAAGAGATGGTTTGTAAACTGTATTATATAATTAAACCAAGGGAATTCGAATCAGTAACTAAATATATGGTGGGCTACATTCGAAAATCAATAAAAACTACATGTAAAATTTTATTTTCTACCGAAAGCTACCTGGGCTACAGCCTAGGGTAGCCCTTAATGTGGCTCCACCGGTGGACACATTTTATTGTCGTATAAACATGAGTGTAACATAATATTGTTAATATTATGCATCAAACTGCATTTCTTTTGTTATAGGTAAATTATTTTCCATGTACTAGTGCATATGTTAGGCATGTTTGTTGTTGGAAAATACAATATCCTGTATCATTGTAAAGAAAGACATTACATTACACCCATAGTATACTTGTTGTAGGTAAATTATGGAAATTAATTTGTAGGTAGGTATTTTGCATCATTGGAAATGAACATTTCAAATAGTAGGTAGGTAAATTAATTTTTTCTAATTATGTTGATGCACAAAACAGGAGGTCTTGAAACAACGTAGATCCGACCATGAATCTGCATGAAATGTAAATGACACAAGATGTATCGTGGTTCATCCCAAAATTTGGGCTACGTTCACATTGATTATATTTCTGAGGGAGAGAGAGCTCTGAATGAGAGTGAGAGCTTTGAGAGGGGGTGAGGAGCCTTAGGAATTGGCCTATCCTAATTGTGAGGGTGAGGAGGAATCTTTTTATAGAATAAGGGCTCCTCACTTATTACATATTTGCCCCTTCCTTTATTACATAATTACATTTGAGTTCCCTGAGTATTTGTACGAGATCTAAATACGAGGCCGTAAATATGGTATAAACAGTAGTCCCCCAAGTCTTTAGTCAAGAGAGTATTTTGGCTGGAGACTTGAAATTCAGTCCATGTGTGTGGGCCGAAGTAACTAGATGTTGTATTGAACTGATGTTCGATATGAGGCGGTACTCAATCTGAAATGATGCTCAACTAGAAGTAACACATGCTGCGAGGCTGCTCGGCTCGTGGCTTATGTTGCCTTGGTTGTCTCGGCTTGTGGCGTTGAAGGTGAGGGAGTCCCTTTTATAGAATAAGAGCTCGCTCCTTAATACATGAATAATGGGTTAGGAGTGATGCTCGCGGCGAGTCGGTTGCTCAGCGTGCGGCGATGCTCTTTAATGAAGGTGAGGGAGTCCCTTTTATAAAATAAGGGCTCACTCCTCAATACATAAGTGATGGGCTAAGTCCCCCAAGTATTTTTCATGAGTGCTCTCTAATGAAAGTGAGGGAGTCCCTTTTATAGAATAAGGGCTCGTTCCTCAATACATAAATGATGGGCTAGAGTTGATGTTCGCGGCGAGGCGGTTGCTCAGTAGGCAGCGATGCTTTCTAATGGTGGTGAGGGAGTCCCTTTTATAAAATAAGGGCTCGCTCCTCAATACATAAGTGATGGGTTAGGAGTGATGCTCGCGGCGAGGCGATTGCTCAGCTGGCGGCGTTGCTCTCTAATGATGGTGAGGGAGTCCCTTTTATAAAATAAGGGTTCGCTCCTCAGTACATGAATAATGGGTGCTCTCTAATGAAAGTGAGGGAGTCCTTTTTATAGAATAAGGACTCCTCCTTAATACATAATTAATGGGCTAAGTCCCCCAAGTATTTTTCATGAGGCCCAGTTAAGGCTTAATATATGGTACATAATGTAGTCTTCCAAGTCTTCGGTCAATAAAGTCTGTTGGCTGGAGACTTCAAATTGAATCCATGTATGGGCCGAAGTCGTGGTTGTTCGAATGCGGTATTTGTATACCTTGCACTGAAGCTTTGTAGGTAAAGCTTTGCAAGTGAAGCTTTGAAGCTGGAGCTCTGTAAATGAAGCTTTTGAAGCTAGAGCTTTTGTAAATGAAGCTTTTGAAACTGATTTACATGAGTAATGCTCATGAATGTTTATGTTGATTGACATGAGTGATGCTCATAGATGTTGACATGAGTGATGCTCATGAATGTTGACATGAGTGATGCTCATGAATGTTTATGTATGATTGGTATGAGTGATGCTCATGAATGTTTATGTATGATTGACATAAGTAATGCTCATGTATAATTTGAAGTATTGGGCGTACTTTTGATCACTTGGTTGGTGGCATGAAGAAGAGTGCGGGTTGTACATTTCATCATCTGGTTGGTGACATGAATGGCTAGTTGCCAAATGATATTAGAGTACGGATTGTACATTTCATTACCTGGTTGGTGGCATGAATGGCTAGTTGCCAAATGATATTTAGAGTACGGGTTGTACATTTCATCACCTGGTTGGTGGTAATAGCGGCGGGTTGCCGAATGATATTTAGAGTACGAGTTGTACATTTCATTACCTAGTTGGTGGTAATAGCGACGGGTTGCCGAATAATTTTGGAGTACTGGGCGTACTTTTGATCGCCTGGTTGGTGGTAACAGCTGCATGTTGCTGAATAATTTTGGAGTACTGGGCGTACTTTTAATCACCTGGTTAGTGCTATTTTGGGCTTATGAGCCTTCGCCCTCCACAACATGCCAGCCCATTTATTTTGGGCTTTGTCTTTTTTTTTATTACCCTCTGATGGGGTTTATACAGATGTTTCTGAAAAGATAAGGAAAATAATTTACACCATTCAAAAATAAATCCGACCCTCTGGTCAATGGGTCACGCCCATAATTTTCTTTTCTGCATGCCATCACTACTGTAATTATGTCTGCTTCTTTTTATCTTCTTTTGTTTTTCCGTTTTCTTTCTTTTGATGCATGGTCCACGAGTCCACCACCAAAGCTCCACACTACACTTTGTGCTTTCTTTAATAGCTTTAAATTGTTGGTGGATTTGGTGCCAAGAAAACAATCCATTTTTGGCACCATTATTTGAATTAGCCTTCGTAGTCTCTGATGAGCATCACAGCTATCATCTTCCTTTATTGTTGTCATTTTTTCTTTTCTCTTTTGGCTGATGGCAGACAAGGGGAATGATAATAGACTTATTTATTAAGGAAAAGCTTATCTTCGTCAAGTCGTAATGAGTGTGTTTCTAATGAGCAAGTTCAGCCTCGTCGACGTGCTTCCAGCAACCGGGCTCTTCGCCGTCCCAAGCGGCATCATCATCTCCTCGAGAACCCCGTTTGGTGGAAGCAGCACAAAAAGCCTTGCCTCCACAGTCAATTCTCTAACCTGTTTCTTCCCGGAGCCATCAAGATCGAATCCAAGCTCCATCATCTCTTCCAAATAATGTATACGAAAAGCCTTTGCTCAACATCGGGCATCACCACTTGGTGTTTTAGACTTATCCTCGGGAGTCGTATTATTGCACCGTCAAGACCAAACATACTGCGTGCAAAATTATCATCGTCGTATATTGCACCATAAGCTCCTGTGTTTTCCGTGTCTTCTCCTTCTCGTTTGGAGATGTCCAGAACCATAGAGTGGTTTTTAATGGCGTCTCGGTACTTGCCCAATCTTTGCAGTGAGGCTCCTACGCCTTTTCCAGGTTTATGCTTGGCTAGCTGGAAATCCTTCATGGGCGGAGGAAAGCTGATGTACGACGTTGGCGCAGAGTCGGGAGAAGCTTCGTCGGCTATCGTCGTTCATGCAGAGGAATACACCTAGAGAGATGGGAGAGAGAGGAAAGAGACAAGCAGAGAGCAGAAGGCGCCGGAGCATGCAGTCGGATTTGCAGAGCAAAACGAATCCTTCCAATGTGCATGCGAAGTTGGCGACCTCGGAAGGCATGAGGAACGAGAGGATGCAGAACTAGACGTCCTCAGGGAAATCGGATAAGGAAATGGCGCGACCCGGATCTTCAGTTGCGAGGTGGGTCTAATGTAGAAGGAGCAGAGGTGGGTCCGATGTAGGAGTAGGATGTGCTTCTCGAGCAGAATGTGCTTCTCGAGCAGGATGTGCTTCTTCTTCTGGGCGGCGAGGATTGCCCACTTGATGTGGAGGCTGGTGGGGAGCGATACCGGATCTTTGGATGGAGAATGAAGGAGACGCAGTGATGGTGGCGGTTCTAAAGAGTTTGGTGGAAGATGAGCTGTTCTGCTCTTCCACTATGATCTCTGCTGATGCAACATTGTTCATGGAAGTTGCTGACGTGACAGAGGAATCGGAAATGGCGGTGAGTGTGATAGAGAAAAGACGTCACAGAGGATCGCATTCACTGCCCCTTATGGTCTAAATTCACACGTGTCATTTTGAAAGTGTCACGGTCAGTGTGACCGTTGAGGCCGTGACGTTGCAAGTACTCCACGTGAGCATTGTGGATGAGGATTTCAGCGAGGACTTGTTTTTGAACCTCGGCGGGTTTTTTTTTGTGACTTCTTCAATGAAGTGAAGGATCTTGTTGTTTTTTGTCTTTGAGGTTATAGTCCTCCGTGGGATTCAGAAATTTCTTTGGTGCTTCAGGCATGGCGTTTGTGTGTAGTTTGGAGAGAGAGAATGATGAACTTGGTGTCTCTGTGTGGGTTTTGCAGATTCATGGTGGTGTGTGGTGAGGTCTCAAGGTGGTGAGATGAAAAAATGAAAGAGAACCGACATAACTTTTCGTGTCGTTTCCCACAGACGGCGCCAAATGTTGATGCACAAAACAGAAGGTCTTGGAACAACGTAGATCCGACCATGAATCTGCATGAAATGTAAATGACACAAGATGTATCGTGGTTCATCCCAAAATTTGGGCTACGTTCACATTGATTATATTTCTGAGGGAGAGAGAGCTCTGAATGAGAGTGAGAGCTTTGAGAGGGGGTGAGGAGCCTTAGGAATTGGCCTCTCCTAATTGTGAGGGTGAGGAATCGTTTTATAGAATAAGGGCTCCTCACTTATTACATATTTGCCCCTTCCTTTATTACATAATTACATTTGAGTTCCCTGAATATTTGTACGAGATCTAAATACGAGACCGTAAATATGGTATAAACAAATTACATAAAAAAAAGTTATAATACACATAGTTATATTTAATTGGTTCCAATTATTAAAAAAAAATTATACTACACCCAACCAAATAACATTTCTCTGACTTGTAGGTAAATTATTTTTCATGTATTGTTAAATATGTTAGGCCATGTATTGTTAGATATGTTAAGCACATTTTATTGTTGTATATACATAGGTGTAACATAATATTTTTAAAATTATGCATTAGACTACATTTCTTCTTAATATAGGTAAATTATTTTGTCATATGTTAGGCATGTTTTGTTGTTAATACATACAATATGAATCATTGTAACAAAGAGATATTATATTACACCAATGGTAAATTGTTATAGGTAAATTAATGTGCATTAGATAATGACATACAGTGTTCTAATATATTAATAAAAAAAGGATAAAGTCAAAAGTATTCAAGAGTAAGGGAAAAAAACTGAATCGAATTCTAGTTTTATGACAATTCAAAGCCTTTGTTTTAAATTAATATGCAATGAATTTTTAATATTAATGTGTTTTTTTTACGGCAAAATCACCAACGCTCTCCGTACAGTTAATTGTGTACGTCAAATATGTAATAAGGGTATTTTAGACGTGTGAAAATTATAAAAGCTGTAAATAATATGAAATTAATGAATTCGCTTATGTAGATCTTAATCACTGAGTTTTTTTTAAGTAAAAAAACTTTATCTGAATTTTTTATAAAAGAAAATTTTAGTTCAAAGGATTAAAGTCATATTTTCTGTAAAATAAACCGCGTTGATTAATACATTATGACATGAGCAAGTTACAATATAAATCTATTGATCACAGGAGGAAGTTATGGTGCAGAACTTAGAAGCCGAGAGAATAGGCCAAGCACTAAGGCCCAATAAGCCAAATCCGTATTTTGGGTCAAGAGAATGGGCTGATAGAATGGCGAAATGTATTTCAAGTTTCTATCCACCGATGGCGATTGGCGGTACCAAAAGCATAAACAGTCTAAAGGAAGAAAACCCAGAATCTAATTCTACTAGAGGAAGAAATAAAGAGAGTTGAGATAGAATGCCGAATAGTATTTCAAGTTTCCATCCACCGATGGCAATTGGTGGTAACAAAAGCATCAACAGTCTAAAGGAAGAAAACCCATAATCTAATTCTACTAGAGGAAGAAATAAAGAGAGTAAGAAATGAGAAGAGGAAGGAGGGATGGAAGGTGAAGAGGAAGGATGGATAATGCTGAGCAAGAGATTTTCAGACAAAGGAGGCGGAGGAGGAGAGGAGTTGGGGAGGTTGATTACAAGAATAAGTCAGGCACGGCGTGGAGCCACTCATAACTGAATCATAAGCCATGGCACCTTCTCTCTTACCCCAATCAGTGTCGCAAGTGGATCGCAGAGCAGATCCAGGCGCAGCGTCAGCGTCGTACCGAGGAGGTCTCCCACGAGGCACGTACTGCACTACCCCGACCCCCACTACCAACCTTTTGATTTATGCCCAAGAGCAGGAATTCTTTCTGCAGGCCACTCTCGTCTCCAAGAAAGACAAGGAAAAGGTTCTCTTTTCTTTCCTTTATAAGAAAGAAGCTTGTATTATTTCCTTCTTAATGAATAACGAATTACAACTCAGTATATATACACTTTCCAAATAAAGCTTAAAAACTAATTAAGCCTAATTAACTCATTAAACTAGGACTAGTTACAAAACACTTATAATAACAACCTTATAGCTATACAAGCTAACTAGTAACACCTAAGTATGAGTTGTCCCTTTACTCTTCTCTTTGTGTTTTCTCTTTTAACAACCGAACAAAATTCAAATACCTTCCCAAAGCAAGGCAAAGGGAGAGTAAGTGACATTTTTTAAGCTGATGGATGTTTTGCATTGTTGTAGATTGAGATTATGAAAGCTGTTAGCTTTATGTATGTTCGGCTGCCTGGTTACAATGCCGAAAGTGCCAAAGCTGCAGAGATTGCTGATGAGAGTGCAAAAGAGCACCCACAAACACAAACACAAACTCTAACAGATGCTACTGCTACTTCCACTTCAAGGTACCATTTGCATTATATTCTGCCTTCCTCTTTGATTGCATTATGTATATTCTTTCAATTCATCTTTGTTTGGCCTAATTTTCTATTTTCTCGTTAGCCAACGCCCACCCGAGTCTATGCCTCCAAGCGCTGAACATGCCAAGAAATCACGGCCCAAAAATGTGTTTGGTTGTCCTTTACCAACCGAACAAGAATTTGAAGTTTTGAAAATTGCTCCAAGGTGTGCCTGTTGCTGCCTTTTCAGTAAGATGCAATGTTTTTTTCTTACTTTATAGTTTCTTAATTGACGTGCATTAAGATAATAACATGTTTGATAACTTGATAACGAGATCCATAGGTTGTTTCTTCAGTGCAGCAGACATTTTCATTTTTTGAGAAACTGCAGACATTTTCAGAGTTTTACACACTTTCTTTCTGGACAGTTTAAACCTATAGAGTCAATGGATTGTTATCCCGGAAATGCATATGTTGAGCAAAATTTGTACAAAGATTGTAAACAAATAATTCACTTGACACAATTTCATCCTTATTCATTTTTCGAAGAGGGTTTTATTAATTTGAGTTCATCCCATTTTAGACTAAGCGTCTATTAATTACAATCCTTTGTTAAAAAGGAAAAACTCTTTGATTCCAATATGAATAAATTGTAACTTGGGGATTTGGGTGTTTATTTGATTTTGCGACTACACATAAGTCAAGCCCTAGATTGCCTACGTACCCTGTTGAGGGATCAAGTCACTCGTACTTCCTTATGTATTTGTTGGGATTTGATGCCTTGTGTAGTTTCAGCTAGTGCAGACAAAGAACATTTGATGCCTTGTGCAATTTAGGCTCTTGCAGGCGAGGACTTTGAGCTATTGGAGCAGAACGCATCTTTGTGCCATTTGAGACTTGTCACGACTTCGTGCCATTTGATATTTGATACGGATTCGTGCCATTTGGGATTCGATACGGCTTCGTACCATTTGAGATTTGATAGAGCTTCATGCCATTTTAATTTTGATACAGCTTCGTGTCATTGGATATTTGATACGGCTTCGTGTCATTGGATATTTGATACGGCTTCGTGCCATTTGGGATTTTATAGGGCTTCATGCCATTTGAGACTTTTCTTCGGCTAAGCGCATCCCCTCCCTTTAGTGTAGATAATATAGTTTGTTACATAAAAAAAAAAAAACAATCATTTGAGAATTTATCTAATCACATTATTATACGCGTGTGAAATACCTTTTTTATATCACGTGGGCACCATCAACTTTGTCATTTGTTTATTATTTTCTCTTTTCCCTTTCATTTTTTTATTCTTTACACATGAGACAAAAATTTTGGTGTCACCCACTTTGACAAAAAGAATTGGACCAAACTGCCACTCAGCCAAAAAAAATCAAAACCTGCCCAAAATCATATTTCAAATTATGCAAGGGTAATTTGGTAATTTGGCCATCAAAAATCTGATCTCCACTGTGATGCACTGTTCATCGCACCTCCGGCTTTATATATAATAGATTTATACAAACAAAAAAACACATAACATTTTGGGTAAATGACAAAAAACTATCTCAACTATTGGTGTCACGATACTTTTGTCGATGCACAAAACCAGAGGTCTTAGAACAACGTAAATTCGACCGTAAATCTGCAAGAAATGTAAATAACACAAGATGTATCGTGGTTCATGATAGGAGTATATCTATGCGACTTAGTTAGCTTGTTCTTGTGCATTTGTGTTGTTATTTCTTAGTTAATTATGTATTTTAAGCTATTTTCGTCTGTTTATAGGTCATAATAACAAAGTTGGCAAGAAAATGCATTTTGGAGCATTTTTGAGCATTTTTGAGCCAAGATTGGATAGTGCAAGCATGGAGACATGAGGATTGACGTTTTTTAAGATTTAAGGGCTAGAAATCAACATGTGTGTGTGCAAGTGTGTTGACCTACAACTCCAAACATCCATCCACTACACCCATTACATCCACTCATTACCAAACATCCACCCACTACACCCATTACACTCACCAAAACACTCATCCACTACACCTATTACATCCACTCATTACCAAACATTCATCCACTACACCCATTACATCCACTCATTACCAAACATCCACCCACTACACGCATTACATCCACTCATTACCACAACACTCACCCACTACACCCATTACATCCACTCATTACAACTCCATACACTCATCTCCCTAGCCTATAAATACATCCACCCTTCACCATAATTGAGAGGCCATCATCCAAAGACACCACATCATCTACACAATTCTCCACCCTTCACCATAACTCACCTATATCCATCCACCACCACAAGAGATCATCCATTCACCACTCACACCTTGGTGCCACATATTTGCAAGAAAGGAGGATTGCTTGGAGTTGTGCTAGTCATTCAATTTGGATTGCTGGAGCATTCTAGGTGTATTCTACTTTGGTTTTCAATGTTTAATTTCAATTGTTTCTGTTTAATTGCAAGTATGAGGAACTAAACCTCTTTTGGCTAGAGGAGAATTCGAAACCATGAATATATTTGCAATATGAATTGATTTCTTCCAATTGTGATTTGATAAGTTGTGATTGCAATTCAATTATCTATTTTATTCATAACGGATTTATGTATGTTTATTAAGGATGCATACTTAGTTTTCATGCATGAATTTGATGCTAGGATATAAATAAGTTTCACCTAAATCGTTACAAGTTTATATTCATGAGTAGTGAAGGTTGCTTGTCACAATTGCGTTAATTGAATTCTTGGCAAACGTATCATGCATTCATAGTTACAATTGCCTCGTCAACACTTATGATTTTCATGGAACGTAATGATCTTTAATTGTATCTCTATTATGCATTCATATAGGGGACTTTTAGAGAATGATTTGGGTTGTCGCATGCATTCATCCAATTCAATGAGTAAAGGAAAATCTGAGGGTTAATTTATGCATCACGGTTAATCTGGGGTGTTGAGCATCATAGTTTATTGAAAAGCAATTGGAGATTGATTTGTATGCAAGTGTGTCATGTGTGGAGAAAGACCTTCTAGCTAGCCCATCATCCATCTAAAACAACCAATTTCGTGCAAATCTGTTTAGTTCTAGTTTCTGTTTTGTTTTACTTTATTTTCGTCCAAAACCCAATCCCCCTTTACTTTAGTGTGTCTAATTAGTTAGAATCTATTTTAGTTTTTAAGTGTTTGAGTCTATAGAGTCTAGTTAAGTGTTTTTAAGTTTCTTTTTATAAGTCAGTTTAGTTTAGATTAGCAATCCCTCCTAATCCCCGGTCCAGAACGATCCCTAATTATACATATACTACAATTGTCAAAAGAGGGTTTAATTTGAGTGCTTAACTTTCATCGCATCAGTTCACCCCAAGGTTTTGGCTACATCCACATTGATATTGTATTTATCTGAGAGGTGAGGGAGAGAACCTCTGAATATGAGAAGGGATGTGAGAGGGGTGAGAAGGCTTAAGAAATGGCATCTCCCAATTGTGAGGGTGAGGAGTCCTTTTATAGAATAAGGGCTCCTCACTTATTACATATTTGCCCCTTCCTTTATTACATAATTACATTTAAATCCCCCGAGTATTTGTACGAGATCTAAATACGGAGGCCCTAAATATGGTATAAACAGTAGTCCCCTAAGTCTTTAGTCAAGAGAGTCTTTTGGCTGGAGACTTGGAATTCAGTCCAAGTAACTAGATGTTGTCTTGAACTGATACTCGATAGGAGGCGGTGCTCAATTTGAAATGATGATATACTAGAAGTAGCACATGCTGCGAGGCTGCTTGGCTCGTGGCTTATGTTGCCTCGGTTGGCTCGGCTTGTGGCATTGAAGGTGAGGGAGTCCCTTTTATAAAATAAGGGTTCGCTCCTCAATACATGAATGATAGGCTAGAGTTGATGCTCTTTAATGATGGTGAGGGAGTTCCTTTTATAAAATAAGGGATCGCTCCTCAGTACATGAATAATGGGTTAGGAGTGATGCTCGCGGCAAGGCGGTTGCTCAGCTGGCGGCGATGCTGTCTAATGAAGGTGAAAGAGTCCCTTTTATAGAATAATGGCTCGCTCCTCAATACATAAGTGATGGGTGCTTTCTAATGAAAGTGAGGGAGTCTCTTTTATAGAATAAGGGATTACTCCTCAGTACATAAATAATGGGCTAGAGTTGATGCTCTCTAATGATGGTGAGGGATTCCCTTTTATAGAATAAGGGCTCTTCACTTATTACATAAATAATAGGGTAAATCCCCCAAGTATTTTTCATGAGGCCCAGTTGAGGCCCAATATAGAGTACATAATGTAGTCCCCTAAGTCTTCGGTCAATAGAGTCTGTTGGCTGGAGACTTCAAATTGAATCCATGTATGGGCCGAAGTGGTGGTTGTTCGGAGGCGGTATTTCTATACCTTGCACTGAAGCTTTGTAGGTGAAGTTTTGCAAGTGAAGCTTTTGAAGCTAAAGCTCTGTAAATGAAGCTTTTGAAGCTAAAGCTCTGTAAATGAAGCTTTCGAAGCTGGAGCTTTTGTAAATGAAGCTTTTGAAGCTAGAGCTCTGTAAATGAAGCTTTTGAAGCTAGAGCTTTTGTAAATGAAGCTTTTGAAGCTAGAGCTCTGTAAATGAAGCTTTTGAAGCTAATTGGCGTGAGTGATGCTCATGGATGTTTATGTTGATTGACATGAGTGATGCTCATGGATGTTGACATGAGTGATGCTCATGAATGTTGACATGAGTGATGCTCATGAATGTTGACATGAGTGATGCTCATGAATGTTGACATAAATGATGTTCATGAATGTTTATGTATGATTGTCATGAGTGATGCTCATGAATGTTTATGTATGAATGACATAAGTGATGCTCATGTATAATTTTGGAGTACTGGGCATATTTTTTATCACCTAGTGGGTGATAATAACGGCAGGCTGCCGAATAATTTTGGAGTACTGGACGTACTTTTGATCACATGGTTGGTGGTAATAGCAGTAGGCTGCCGAATAAATTTGGAAGTACTGGGCGTACTTTTGAGCACCTGGTTGGTGATAATAGAGGCGGGGTGCCGAATAATGTTTTGTAGTACTGGACGTACTTTTGATCACCTGGTTGGTGCTATTTTGGGCTTATGGGTCTTCGCTCTCCACACAACATTGCAGCCCATTATTTTGGGCTTTGCCTTTTTTTTTTTTTTTTTTACCTTCTGATGAGGTTATACATGGGGTTATACAGATATCTCCGAAATATAAGAAGAATAAATTACATCATTCAAAAATAAATAAAGCAGTCGTTGGTGCATTGCTTTTGCTTTTGTTTTTATTTTCTGCTTTGCTTTTGCTTTTGCTTTCTTCTTTTGCTTTCTTTTTTCCCTTTCTTTGCGCTTCTCCGAAAACTAAACCAAGGATGCTTTGTGAGCCTGTGGAATAGCAAAAGCATATTTGCTTTTGTTTTGCTTTGCTTTTACTTTTTTTTTTCTGCTTTTGCATGTGGGTGGTCGACAGCGCCCCCTCCTCCTCATCAGTACCTCCAACACCAACTTAGCATCTTATATACTTTGGAGAACCATCAGAGTATTCAGTGGTGGTGGTGGGGTTGTTCTGTGTCTATGTGCCTCAAATCCCCTTTAACGACAGAATCTGGGTGCCCGAACCTGAAGATTTTTGTCCGCTATAATTGTTTTTGGGTGAACCGAAACAGATACGACTAGGCACCTCATCCACGAGAACAGATACCCCCACCACCTTCGTGAATGGCTTCCTCCCACATTCCTCTGGCGATAAACTCGTCGACAACGCTCTTCTTGAAAAAGTGATAGAGTTGCCATGACTGAGCACACTGGTGAGGAATTGCTGCCTAGCCCAGTTTGGCGGAACACACTGGTCATCCCAGTCAATTCTCATTCTCGATGTCCTGGTAGTTGGGGAGCTTAATGGAGGGGTAACATGGGCACTAATAGAGCCGCCATGGATGTAGAGGTTCGGTAGTTTGGAAGAGGAGGCCGAAAATGATGCAGATGAGAGATTTTTGAGCCATGGGATAAGGGACCATTTCAAACAGAAAACCCTAAATTCCCCCCCAAACCCTA